TTCCAGGCTCCCAAGATCCACAAATGTAGGTGCAAATCTAGAGGAGACTTGGATTTTCCATCAATGGGCCCTGATGACACACCTGACTCCTGGATACAGGAGAATACAGACCAGCAACTGAGGACTGTATTCTATTCCAATTCTGTCCCTGAATTTGCCTTCTCTTCTCCCTTCCAGAGTTCCTTGGTTCAGGCACTCCTCACATTGTGTCTGTCCTATAACAATAGGTTATAGTCACAAACAACTATTTTTGTGATCCCAGAACAGAGCTCTTTTTTTTTTTTTTTAAGAAGAAAGAGAGAAAGAAAGAAAAAGAATAAAAAAAGAAAAAAGAAAAAAAAGAATGAAGGAGAGGAAGAAAGGGGAAGAGGAAGAGGGAGAGAGAACGGGGTGTTGCTTTATTGCCTGGGCTAGAATGCAGTCTAAAAATGGGTATGCCTGTAATTGTGTTTAATAATAGAGACATGAAAAAAACAAGATGAGGGAAGAAAATAACTAACAAGCAGCCAACCAATATTTCATATAAACCTGTAAATAGGTGTGATGTGGTACTGATAAGAGTGTATATTTTGTGTATTTAAAGTGGAGAGTTCTATAAATGTTAATTAAGTCTACTTGTTCCGGATCTGAGTTCAAGTCCTGGGTATCGTTGTTAACCTTCTGTCTCATTGATCTGTCTAATATTGATGTTGAAGTCTCCCACTATTATTGTGTGGGAATCTAAGTCTCTTTATAAGTCTTATATATCTGGGTATTGCTGTATTGGATGTGTATATATTTAGGATCTTTAGCCCTTCTTGTTACATTGATCCTTTTATCATTATGTAATATCCTTCTTTGCTTCTTTTGGTCTTTGTTGCTTTAAAGTCTATTTTATCAGCAAAAATTGCAACTCCTGCTTTCTATTTATTTATTATTTTTGCTCTCCATTTGGTTGGTAAATTTTTCTCCATCCCTTTGTTTTGAGTCTTTGTGTATCCTTGCATGTGAGATGGGTCTGGATGTAGCATACCAATGGGTCTTGGCTTTTTTTGCCTGTCTGTGTCTTTGGATTGGGGGGATTTAGTCGATTTAAATTTAGAATTAATAATAATATGTGTGAGTTTGATATCGCCATTTAATGTTAGCTGGCTGTTTTGCCCATTAGTTGATACAAGTTCTTAATTATGTTGATGTTCTTTATTTTTGGTATTTTTTAGAAAGGCTGATACTGGTTGTTTCTTTCTATTTGTAACGGTTCTTTCAGAAGCTCTTGTAAAGCAGGCCTGGTCGTGATGAAATCTGTGAGTGCTTGCTTGTTCACAAAAGATTTTATTTTTCCTTCGCTTATGAAGCTTAGTTTGGCTGCATGTAAAATTCTGGGATGAAATTTCTTTTCTTTAAGGATGTTGAATATTGGCCCTCACTCTCTTCTGGCTTGTAGGGTTTCTGCTGAGAGATCTGCTGTGAGTCTGATAGGCTTCCCTTTATGGGTAACCTGACCTTTCTCTCCGGCTGCCCTTCAGTATTTTCTCTTTCATTTCAACCCTGGTGAATCTGGTGATTATGTGCCTTGAGGTTGGTCTTCTTGAGGAATATCTTTGTGGTGTTCTCTGTATTACGTAGAGTTGAATATTGTCCTGCCTTGTTAGGTTGGGAAGGTTTTTCCTGAATAATATCCTGAAGTGTATTTTCCAGCTTGGATTGATTCTCTTCGTCACATTCAGGTACACCAATCAAACGTAGATTAGGTCTTTTCACATAGTCCCATATTTCTTGGAGACTTTGCTCATTTCTTTTTAATCTTTTTTTCTCTAAACTTGTCTTCACATTTTATTTCATTAAGTTGGTCTTCAACCTCTGATATCTTTTCTTCTGCTTGATCAATTCGGCTGTTAAAACTTGTGCATAGTTCGTGAAGTTTTCGTGTTGTGTTTTTCAGCTCCATCAATTGATTTATATTCCTCTCTAAATTGTGTATTATTGTTAACATTTCTTCAAACCTTTTTTCAAAGTTCTTAGTTTCTTTGCATTGGGTTAGAACAAGTTATTTTAATTCCCAGAAGTTTCTTATCATCCACCTTTCAAAGCCTGCTTCTGTTAATGGAACACAGTCTTTCTCCATCAGGCCTTGTTCCATTGCTGATGAGGAACTGTGATCCCCTGTAGAGGGAGAGGCGTTCTGATTTTCGGTATTCTCAGCCTTTTTAGGCTGGTTTCTTCCCTTCGTTATAGATTTATCCATCTGTGGTCTTTATAATTACCGTCTTTATAGTTGGGTTTCTGAATGGACGTCCAACTTGTTGATTCCCGGCGCTAAAATCTGAGCAACCCACTGGGCCTGCCAAAACAGCGGCGTTAAGATTGATGGTGCTTTTCTGACTCTGCACCAAGAACTGCCACACCAAGGCAGCGGCAAAATCGCCTCGCCGGCCACAAGAGTCGCTCTGGTGACCCGTGGGGCTCCTCCGCTGGAAATCACCTGGTGCGTGAGCAGCAAAAATTGATCTGAAAGTGTGGCGTCCTCTCGTTCTCTGAGCTTTCAGTGGGAGCTACAGTCCCGAGCTGCTAGTGATCCGCCTGACTAATTTTTGTATTTTTAGTAGAGATACGGCTTCACCATGTTGGCCAGGCTGATCTCTAATTCCTGACCTCAGGTGATCCACCCACCTTGGCCTCCCAAAATGCTGGGATTACAGGCATGAGCAATTGCACCCAGCCTATCATGAATGTTCTTAATGGCATCTAAAATCGTGAATTCTTTCCAGAAGGCTTTCAATTTTACTGCACCCAGATTCAGCAGAGGAATCAATATTCATGGCAATTATAGCCTTACAAAATGTATTTCTTAAATAATAAGACTTGAAATTTGAATTTCCTTCCTGATCCATGGGCTACAGAAGAGATGTGTTAACAGGCATAAAGACAACATCAATATCCTTGTGTATCTCCATCAGAGCTCTTGGGTGACTAGGTATATTGTCAATGAGCAGTAATATTTTGAAAGAAATACTTTTTTCTGAGCAGTAGATCTTAACAGAGGGCCTAAAATATTCAGTAAATCATGCTGTAAACACATGTTCTGTCCTCCAGGCTTGGCTGTTCCATTTATAGAGCACATGCTGAATAGATTTAGCATCATTCTTAAGGGCCCTAGGATTTGGGGAATGGCATTTGTGCTTGGCTGCACCAGCTTTGTCCCTGGGTCCATCCTCCTAATCGTAGCCTACAGTGCTGGTAGGCGTATCATTAGGACTAAGGTTTACCTAAGGGGTGACTACTTGAAAGCAAATGGTAAAACTTAGACATGCCCCAATGTCCATGAATGCATGTGAGGCCTTTCATGTTGTGAGACAATGGAGGAGGCAGCAGGGAGAAAAATAAGGGGTGGACTGTGGGTGGAGGTTGGAGGTGGAAGTTCAGCTCTCCCCACACTGCCAAATCCCAGGGGAAAACCAGAAACCTCAAAATTGTAAATTTTCACTTGGCCTTCCAGGTTATGATGAAGGCAAATTTGGCAATGCAGGAGAATGGTACCTATTTTACTGAATTGTTTATTATCTGTTTAGACAATGGATATGTGAGCATCCTTTTTTTTTTTTTCCTGGCCTCACAAATGTTAGTGGCAGGTCTACACAAGGAAGGCAAACCTTAAGTGAGATCAAGAGTCCTGTGGAGCCGGATCTGGACAGAATGAAATCTCAGCAGGAATGTGCAAAAATTCTGTCAAGGCTGTGCAATGTGTGGTTTAGCTGACATCTGGGTTACATTTAAATATTTGGAAAATATCAAAATCAGATAAGGCAAAGTATGATAACACTGTACTCCATAAAAAGATGGCCTCATCCCCAGAAAACTTACAGTCGAATTAAAGAAGACGTAAGCAAAGTCAAAACTACATTGGCAACAATTTATTTTATATTTTAAAGGATGAGCAGGACTAATTAATGCACAAGCAAATTACATAACACCAAAAACATCCAGAGTATTACATCTTATTTTAGTTTTCCAGCTAATAGAGAAATGGTAAAAAACAGAGAATTGCCAGATATTATCTCAGTGGTCTGTCCCTGAATTTTGAACCCAAAGGGTTAGATGAGTTGAGATTATGATACCAGTCACACCTCCGTGTACACAGAAAACCGTGGTGCCATATTTTCTTCACAAGGCCATAGGAAGTCCTGACCAGCCAAATTTAGATCATACTTGCTTTGAGTGCCCATCAGAATTTTTTTCTTATTGGCTAACTTTGGTGGCAATTAGAGACCAAGTTCGGCCAGGTGAATTGTGGGCAGCATGCAATATACAGAGCATTGGTACAGAAGCCAAACTCCCTGAATGTTAGTCTCAACTCTGAACTCTAACAAGCTTTGTGACCTTAGGAGGCCATGAAACCTCTCTGTGACTCATCTTTTTTATTTTATTTTTGAGACAAGATCTCACTTTGTTGCCCAGCCTGGAAGGCAATGGCACAATCATAGTTCACTGCAGCCTCAAACTCCTGGGCTTAAGCCATCCTCCCGCCTTAGCACCCCAATAGCTAAACTACAGCCCTGCACCCCCATACCTGGCTAATTTTTTTTATTTTTTGCAGAGATGGGGGGGCAGTCCCTCTATGCTGCCCAGGCTGATCTCGAATTCCTGGCCTCAATCAATCCTCTGGCCTTGGCCTCCCAAAAAGTTGGTGTTACAGGCATGAGCCACTGTGCCCAGCCCTTCATCTTTAAATGAACATGATTATTAAGCCTTATGCATAAACATTCTATGGAGTATATGAGTATGCTATTATTTTCTCTCTTTAAGTAAAGCTGCTAATGGCATTATTTTCTATCACCAAAAGAACTGACATTTATATCACAGATTAAAGGAGGACACAAAGTCAATTCTCATTTCTACTGGGGGTAATATTGAAATGAGTTCAGAAGGAATCTGTATCAGTTATAATTTATTGAGTTGGAATTAGAAACTTCATGGATAAGCAAGGTTTTTAGGTTCGCTTCTTCCTCTGTTTAATTCAACAGAAGAGGATGCTTGCCCTTCTCAGTTGCTTGTCTGAAGTCTAGGATCTTGTTTTAATTTCCCAAGGACCCCCATAAGGTAAGTATTATTATTCTCCTCTATTAACTATAAGTACCTGCTTCATGAAGTTGTGAATTTAAAATAAAACCATGTATAAAAAAGTACTCAGCAAGATCCCTGGTATATAATAAGCAATAAATGTTAGCTATTTTATATACATTCATATGTATATATTTATATCTGTATATTATGCGTATCTCCTTTTTACTATGCCTAATGTATTACATATGTTTTATTATCTGCACTAGTTGCTTTCAAATTGTGCTCCAAAGAAACAAAGGTTTTCATGTGATCTATAAACAATGAAATATTTGTCACTAATTATGAAAATTAATGAGGAGTATACTTAATGATTTTTAAAAATACATTTTATTCATTGCATGTTCTATGTCAGACTGCTAGAAACATGCATTTTGCTGCTAAACCTGGATTTTAAAACCACTGCTATATTTCAATCCATTAATTTTACTGATTATAAAACAAAAACACAGAGAGCTGAACTTTTTTACCTTTTGGCTTTGTTCAAACCTTAATATATCTGTTAGGACATATTCAATTGCAAATAATGGAAAATCCAAATTAACTGGTTTAAATAAGGAAGGCAAATTATCAATAACATAACTAACAGGCAGGTCCAAAAATATCATCTAACTCAAGGTTGGCTTTATTCCACAACTCAATGACATCATCACGGCCTGTCTCATCTGCTTTCCTCTGTGAGTTTCATCCTACACATGGCTTCCCTCGTGGATGCAACATGGCTGCAACTGTTCCAGGCTTTGAAACCATCCCAGGTCATTTACAAAGAGAGCATGTTTGAATGTCAGCATTCCAAGGAAGAATTCTAACATTTACCCTCATCGAATTAGTGTGAGTCTGAACCAATTACTGTTTCCTAAAGAACTGAATATGTCCTCCAGGGGACACCCTGGAAGTTGAGTTGGGTGTTGCTCAGCTTCCTCCAAAGCACACTGGCTTATGTGCTCAAACAAAAGCCTGGGTATGCTTAGAAAGGAGGAAGAGGGAATGATCACTTGGTAGACAACCAAGAAATGTGTCCTACGCTATGTGATTTTGGGTAAATTACTTCCCTTCTCTTACATATAAAACAAGTATTGGATTTGATGAGTGATTGCAAATGTGAATATGCAGCTGGGCTCGGTGGCTCACACCTGTAATCCCAGTACTTTGGGAGGCCTAGGAAGGTGGATCACCTGAGGTCAGGAGTTCGGGATCAGCCTGACCGACATGGTGAAACCCCCATCTTTACTAAAATACAAAAATTGGCTAGGCATGGTGGCGATCACCTGTAATCTCAGGTACTTGGGAGGCTGAGGCAGGAGAAATTGCTTGAACATGGGAGGCAGAGGTTGCAGTGACCTGAGATAGTGCCACTGCACTCCAGCCTGAGCAATAAAGTGAGGCTCGATCTCAAAAAGAAAAAAAAAAGAAGTTGGTAAATATAATTTCCTAAATTTAAGCTCTTTAATTTCAGCAGAACTTTTGAAGCATTATCTCTAAATAATGATTTGTAATTAAACATGCCCCAGAGGCACACGCAAGTAGAAGAATATACAATTTGTCACATAGAATATGAGTCAGCAAGAAAGCTAAAAAAACAGGGATCAGTACCAACTTGCCCAGTTGCTCAGCCTTCCACAGTGGCATGGGGCCATCTCTGAATTTAGCTTCCCTGTAAATAGCTACCTAATTCCAGAACCTCACATAAAGGAAGTTGGCACATTATTTGTTGGGCAACAGTGGCATAGTGAGGGTAAAAGGCCCAGGCACAATGTAAAATATCTGTGCCTTCAATATTTCAATGCTACTGCTTGAAATGCTAGATTTTGCAGCATCTAGTGCCTTGTGGACCTTCATAAATCAGATCCCTATGTGTCTCAGTGTGACCCACCTTCTTTGTTCTCTGATTGTCAGTGTCTGGTAGAAATGATACCCTCAAAGAACTATTATTGAAGAACAAAATTCTACTGTCATCCAATTATAAGTTCACAACTTCTTCTCCTTTGTTTAAAAAACAGGATCTGGTTCTGTTGCCTAGGCTGGAGTGCAGTGGCACGATCTCACTCACCACAAACTCTGTCTTCAGGACTCAAGCGATTCTCATGCCTCACCCTCCTGAGTAGCTGGGACTACAGGCATGAGCCATCATGCCCAGCTAATTTTTGTATTTTTAGTAGATGTGGGGTTTCACCATGTTGGTCAGGCTGGTCTCGACCTCCTGACCTTAGGTGATCTGCCTGCCTCGACATCTCAAAGTTCTGGGATTACAGTCATGAGCCACTATGCTCAGCCGCATTCACCAACTTCAATATTCTTGTATTTTAGAATTTGGTGTTTAGGGGGCAAGAGGATAGTCATGGTGGATGGGAGGCAAGACTAGAGGCAGAGCAGTATCCGGAGGCTTGCACTGTGAATTTTAGCTCCAGATTGACTACAAGAACAAACCAGCAATCCCTAGAGGACCCACAGACCCTCTGAAAGAAGCAGACTGCTCCTGAAGGACCCAGGAGACACCCCAAATATTGTGAGCACCCCAACTGTGGAAGTGGGAAAGGGAGAGCCTCCTCTCCCAAACACACACCCCTACTGGAGAAACTGAAGGTCTGTTTGCAGGAGAGGTTTCCAACTTACCTGGAGCTGAGTCAATTTAGAGAGCCAAGCAAAATACAGGGGTAGAGTAAGTAGCAGAAAGGCCCTGGGAGCTCACTGCGTCCCCAAGCAGGCCATTTCTGACTGGCACCATTGGGATGCATCGGCAGGGCAGCCAGAGGAGTGGGGTTGTGGGGGTAAAACTACACAGGGAGAAGGAAATCTCTAGGTGAACTGTGCAACAATTTGAGTGGGGCAAGGAGCCTCCTGGCCAGAACTTGAGGGAGGGTGCAAATCCGGTGTGCAGACTCCAGGCGGGGGAATAACCAACCCCTTTCCTTTCACAACTGAGAGGTGGGTAGCCTGAGGCAAGTTTTCAAGCCCATCTCGCCCTCTGCCTGGAAACAGATTTGGATCTGTTATGGGGTGGGCACAATGGAGTGAGACTAGGCCTTCAATTTGCATGGGAGTCAGGCGAGGCCTATGACTGCTGGCTTTCCCCCAACCTGCATGACTCAGCAGAGGCAGCCATAATCTTCCTAGGTATACAACTCCAGTGACATGGGAATCTCACCCCCATCTGCCACAGCAGCCACAGTAAGACCTGCCAAGGAGAATCTGAGCTCAGACAAGCCTAGCCCTGCCCTCAACTGATGGTCCTCACCTACCCATCCTGGTAGCAGAAGACAAAGGGCATATAATCTTCGAAGCTCTAAGGCCCCACCCACCACAGTCCTTCTCCATACTACCACAGCTGATGCTCTCTGGAAAGCACCACCTCTGAGTAGGAGGCACAAAATAGAGCATTAAACTACCAAAGCTAAGAAGCCCATTGTACCACCCCGCCACCTCCACCAGAACATGCGCTGGCATCCACAGCTGAGAGACTTGTAGACAGTTCACATCACAGAACTCTATGCAGACAACCCCCAGTACCAGCCCAGAGTCAGGTAGATTTGCTGGGTTTCTAGACCCAGAAGAGAAATAATAATCACTACAGTTCAGCTCATAGGAAGCCACATCCATAGGAAAAGTGGGAGAGTACTACATCAAGGGAACACCCCATGGGACAAAAGAATCTAAATAACAGCCTTCAGCCCAAAACCTTCCCTCTAACAGAACCTGTGCAATTGAGAAGGAACCAGAAAACCAACCCTGGTAATATGACAAAACAAGGCTCTTTAACACCCCCCAAAATCACACTAATTCACCAGAACTGGATCCAAACCAAGAAGAAATCCCTGATATACCTGAAAAAGAATTCAGGAGGTTAGTATTAAGCTAATCCAGGAGGCACTAGAGAAAGGCAAAGCTCAGTGCAAGGAAATCAAAAAAACAATACAAGAAGTGATGAGAGAAATATTCAAGGAAATAAATATCTAATGAAAAAAACAATCAAAAATTCAGGAAATATTGGACACACTTATAGAAATGCAAAATGCTCTGGAACCTCTCAGCAATAGAACTGAACAAGCAGAAGAAAGAAATTCAGAGCTCAAAGACAAGGTCCAACAAAGACAAAGAAAAAAAGAGTAAGAAAATATGAACAAAGCCTCCAAGAGGTCTGAGATTATGTTAAATGACCAAACCTAAGAATAATTGGTGTTCCTGAAGAAGACAATTCTAAAAGCGTGGAACACATATTTGGGGGCAATAATCAAGGAAAATTTCCCCAGCCTTGCTAGAGACCTAGACATCCAAATACAAAAAATATGAAGAACACCTGGGAAATTTATCACAAAAAGATTATAACCTAGGCGCATTATCATCAGATTATCCAAAGTGAAGACAAAGGAAATAATCTTAAGAGCTGTGAGACAGAAGCACCAGGTAAACTATAAAGAAAACCCTATCAAATTAACAGCAGATTTCTCAGCAGAAACCTTACAAGCTAGAAGGGATTTGGGGTCCTATCTTCAGCCTCCTCAAACAAAACAATTATCAGTCAAGAATTTTGTATCCAGCAAAACTAAGTATCATATATGAAGGAAAGATACAGTCTTTTTCAGACAAACACGTTAAGAGAATTTGCCACTAAGAACTGCTAAAATGAAGCTGTAAATCTTGAAACAAATCCTGGAAACACATCAAAACAGAACCTCTTTAAAGCATAAACCACACAGGACATATAAAACAAAAATATAAGTTAAAAGCAAAAACAACAACAACAAAAAACAAAGCACACAAGCAATAAATAGCACGGTGAATGCAATGGTACCTCACATTTCAATACTAACATTGAATGTAAATGGCCTAAGTGCTCCACTTAAAAGATAGGGAACTGCAGAATGGATAAAAACTCACCAACCAACTATCTGCTGCCTTCAGGAGACTCACCTAACATATAAGGACTCATATAAACTTAAAGTAAAGGGGTGGAAAAAGGCATTTCTGGACACAAAAGTGAG